AATTTCAATTTTAAGTTTTAAAAACATATGTCCAGTTTTCCAACACGAGTCTTAAATTTTATTTATGTTTTAAATGTCCTCCTATATGCTGCTTCCTCTGATTTTTATTATTTTTTTGTTTTTGTTTTATGCTGTGGTAGTGATCATTTGTCCCAGGTTTTGACGTTCTTGACATGTACAGTGGTGTTATTACCCTTTCCCTATAAACCCATGAAATATTTCTGCTTGTGGAGCTGGATTATAGTTGTTAGTTTAGGGAATGAAAATCACACTCTTTTAACCTTATTTATTTCAGCTAATTCTTTATGGAAATGTGTATATTTGACAAGGTGGCTGGTTTTCAAATATTTGCTAAAACTTCTTGTGGATAAATAGTATGAGACTTACTTTATAAAAAGTGTTAAAATTCATAAAAAACATATGGAAAAGGCAAAAATAAAAAAAAATAAAAAATACAGAATATAAGCTAAGTGTAGGTTATTGAGCGTATCAGGGATTCGTTTAATATGTTTTTCTTTGTAAGTCATGTTGCTCTTAAACCATATTTGGTCCAAAAGAGGTTCAGTAAAAGAATTTACTGAAACTTGAAGAAACTCTGTCAAATATGAATCTGTTTGCTACTAATCTATATAATGAGCTTCGCTTTTTGAATTGAATGACTAAAGTAAACTAACTTTTTATGATATTTGAATTTATTGAGATGCACTTGTAAATATTGTCTGTTAGCTGAACAGCAATAACAAACAACAGGGTAGTTCTCAGGTGATAAATAGGAGAGGGGGTTAATCCAGCAGGCTGGATGTAACCATGGTTACTAGGAGTTAGAGTAGAGCACTGAGTGGATATATTTTTTAATTGATCCCTTTCTCTTATTTTTTTTCCCCCAACTTGCCTTTTTGAGGTTTGATGCTCAGGATTTGTGTTGAATGACAGCAATATATCAGCTGCCACTAGATGGCGACATTTGATTTTGCCTTTCTCCTTGAACCTCCCAAACCAATCTGTCTCATGATCCCAGCAATACAACTTTTTTTCACCCGATCATCTTAAATACAAAACAAAACAAAAAAAAGAGAGATACTGCATTTATGAAAGCATTATTTTGTTGCTTTTGGGTCCTTGTCTCGCATCCACATCTGTAATAATCCCATCAGTCAGGGCGGTACTGAACCCTAATGATGTCAGTTCAGACGTTTGTGCAGACGGTTGTGAATCTGCGTAAGGAACACAAGCCAGAGAGGAGGCCATGGAGCTTTAAGCTGCTCTTGGTTTTCACCAACCATATATCTCAGTGTTAATCCTGTACATAAACAAATGTAAATGCAATGTGATCCGTTTTTCATCCTCTTTCGTTAATGTGTCTGCCGAGCGGCCGGACAGTAGGAGGAGGAGGTCATCCTTATATCAGTATTGAACACTACGACAGGAAGGTGAATCTTGATTCAATGTGCTCGAGAGCTTTGAAAAGGCTCCATCTACCTTCTTCTCTTCTGTTTACGTACATGTGAAGTAACCTTGTGTAATCTGATCGAGCTGATAATAACACTTGTCTTCTCTGGTGTCCATCCTGTGAAGAATGATTGTTGTGAACTTTTAATTTAATTTTGATCTTTTTATTGTTGTTGTTTTTTTCTTTTTTTTCTCTCTCTCCTTTTTGTAGCTGGCCTACATAATTATTGAATTAATTTATTTGAATTGAGTCATCAGGAGTGGTATTTCTTTTTAATTTGAGGCAGCTTCAGAAATCTCATGACCAACAGGTTGTCCTTTTGAAGGAAGCACAATGAATGGGCGTGGGGAAGAGGGCAGTATTTGCGTGGTTGAACAAAAGCGTTACCATATCACTGTTTGACCCTGCAGAGGGACCACTCATCGTTTAGATTCATCATCGCAGTTTAAAGTATTGAATAAGTAGTTTGCAGAATCAAGTGCCCCTTCAGCTTTTTCCATCTTTCCCTAGGTTGTTAGGAATCACAGCAGGAGCAGGGTAGACGAGCCCGAGGGAACATGTAAGGAGCCAATTATTTCTCTACTTCTGCAGTGATTCCTTCTTCACATTTGTAATCATAAACTAAAATACTTCCATTTGAATTTCTGTGAAATTGTTGCCTGATTCTGTTTAGCGCACATACTTTTCTCTCTCTCTCTCTCTCTGTCTCTCTCATTTGCCACCCTCTTCCCTGTTGAATGGCATTATGATCAACCAATCCTGTCATTTTCCTGTATTATTCAGTGTACAGTGCAATAGGAGAATAAAATCAAAGCAAACAAACTGCATGGAATAAATGCTGATGTACTGTACCAAGAACACAGTTGTTTGTCATGTTTTATTTAAAACAAAGTGGGTAATGCATAGAAATTCAGTGCAGTGCAAATTCATTTGTTTCATTGAGGGCTTTATGTGTTAGGTGAGAGGTGCTGAGGTTCAGTCATCCAGTGTGGTGTGCTAAATGGATGAAATGCCTCCTCAACATGCAAGTTCCACAGAGTTCCACTAATGATCTAATTATTTGATTCAGATATCTAGAATCTGAGTTTCATCTAAATATTGCAGATGTATGGCCCTCAAAGGACTGAACTTTAATATTTGGTGCATAACTGAAGTGCAAGAAGAAAGGTACAGTTTTCAGGACACCTGTGAGCATTTTTTTCCTACGTCTTGACACATTTTTAATTATATCTAGATTTTTACTTTGACTAGACCATACTAATAGGAATATCCTATCCCTATTAGTTTCTTCTTCCACATGTTTACCTTGTCTCATACATATTTCTAAAATGTTGTAAATCATGTATCATTTTCTTTCCATTTCAAAGCATACTATGATATTTCAGGTGTTGTTGAGACGAAGTGTGTAAATGTTCAAGGGTTGTGAATGCTTTTGTGAGCCATTTTAGGCGAGTTATTTATTAATGTTCTGTTTGTTGCGTTTCCTGGGCAACATTCCTGCATGTTGGCATGAGCTCCAGTAATGATACAAAAACCCTTCATTTAACATTCAAACACAGCATGACACAGTTTTGCTACAAAGCTTTAAAAAAAGACAAAAATTTTGGATCCCAAGATAATTTGATAAGTACTAGTCATCATCATTATCAGATGTTTTCTTTCTAAAAAATGTTCCAAATAATTGTTGATGGTCTAGTTGTTCCTTTTCTGTTCCATTATTTTAATGGTTCAACATCTCCACGTGTCAAAATAATTTACAGTTTGCTGTTATTTCCACTTTTTAGAGAAGTTTTTCTCTTGGCAGCAATTCCAGACAATATGAACTGCCATGATCTTTAAACATGAGAAATAAAAAGTTTTCTTATTAATTTTTCTGAATATTGCACAGTCTGACCTCGGCCAACTGACAACTGTGGATCTTTACAGCTGCTTTAAATGAACTGCAGCTCATGAAGTGCTGACTGAAGGATCGGAGAGCAAACAACTGACAGACAGACGTCTTCACTGATACTCCTGACATATCTGAGACCTTCAAGCTGGTCGTCACATGAAACAAATCAATCCAGATCCACTTGAAAGTCAAATCACTTTTATCCACACAAAACAATATTTAAAACTGATAACTCAGAAACTAAGATGGATATAACATTATCCTTTGAGATTTCACATCACAGGCTCCCACTTGGACCATGACAAACAATTGACATTCACTGCAAAACTCTCACCTTATTCATAAAATTCTTAAAAATAATATGTTTTTTTAATTGGATTGTTTGAAAAATCACAAATTATGACTCTCATAGTCCTTCACAGGCTTTTTTCAAATTGAAGCTATTTCTTGACAACTTGAAAAAATGTAACAGCAGCTGCTCTGCCACCCCTTCTTCCTGTTTTTGTTCTATATTAAGAGGATCTTAAAGGAAACATTTGTTCAAACTGATGGTGTGACTTTTGTGTGCTTTCGCTATACTTCCTTATTACCCCAAGTTTGCATGAAAGAAACAAAGTCTTGTCATCATCTTCTAGGAAAAGATGATGCTCAATTTAAACTGAGCATTGTCCAGTTTAAATTGGACACAAGCTTAGCTACCACTGCATCTTCTTCAAAATGTTGAGTCCTAATCAACTCTAGAGAAATGGATCATATCTTAAGTCAATGCACTGATTGGACATTTTTTTAATAAAAAAAACGTTGGCCTGTATGAGACTATGTCTGACCTAAAACATCTGAATGTTGCTTGTCAGGTGAACCAAATACTGTAGATATCTAAGGTCATGATCTGACCTGTCTACTCAGAATTCTCAGGTCCAAAACTAAACAAGATTAGGCAGCACTTCATTTGTATTCTCCTCAGTTTCAGAACCAACCCCCTGAAAACCTGAGAGGTACAGAGAACCGTGGCTCCTTCCAGTCTGACAGAAAACAACACATATATTTTGTCTGTTTATTTTCTACTTTTAGTCATGTCTTATTTGCTTGTTTTAAATTAGCCTTTGGCATTCACTCCAAGCAATGCAATTGTTCTTTAAGAGCATCTCTTGTTGCAATATAATTTAATTTGTTTCCCCTTTATTTTTATTGTAAAGCGCTCTGTTACCTTGTTTATGCAAGCTGTCTTGCCTTGCATTCCCGCATCCTTACTAGGGGTGGAACTACTCTCTTCTTTTTGAAGCGTGATTTGCAGACACAAATGTTACGAAGAACCACAAAGAGTGAAACTGTTCTCTCTTGTATGTTCCTGCTGTTGTGAGCGTGATCTCAGTCACGTTTTCACTATGCGGTCTTTTCAAGCTCCACCTTTTTACATCGATCATTCAAGGAAGCGCACGAAGACGCACTCAAACGCACCTCATGACAAACTGATTTTAATGTAATCAGGTTAAAGTTGTGTATCTTCTGTAAAGGGTGTGTTAGTTTCTGCACGGTCTAATCGATAGCTACGATTAGCATGACTGATCTGTTTATATCAATCCCCGTTTACGTGCTGCTGGGTCTCCTCTCACAAACATTTCGGTTCAGCGGGAACCCGGGAGAAGCGCAGAGAATAGTAGGAATTCGCAGCTCCGGGCGGCGCCGGGTTGCAAAATAAATGCTCCACCGATACGCTCCCTTGGTGAATGAGGGCGGAGTCAGTCTACGTAGAGGTGTAACTGTTGAGAGGGGCTTCCACGCCACTGAAATACAAGGGTTTGGTTTGAACCCGCTCCCAACAAGGAAGCGAACAGCTGGGACAACACCGAGGAGCGACTGCATCATTTCTTTTATCAGCCCAAACTAACGGGATTATTTTCATTTTTATAGGCGGGTTTCTTTGTTGTAAGGTGAGCAGGTCAACATGTCTTCCATGGACTTGGAGAAGCTGAAGATGACGGGAGCAGGTCGGGCCATAGCGGTGCTGACCAGCGGTGGAGATGCACAAGGTGACCTTAGAAAACTCCTCATCTGCATTGATGTTTAATATTTCAAACCTGTGGAGCTTAAACTGTGTTTCTGTGCAGCTCTGACCCCAACTGAGCGGGTTTGTTTACACATGGATGAGCTCATTTTCGCACTTTGAGATCAATGTGGATTTATTTATGTTCTCACTCATAATGTAGTTCAAATGTCCCAAAAAGGCTCACAGTAGGTGTCGTTTATGCCAATTATAACAGCATATTAAAAGGTTAATGGGATTCGGATGTGAAGAGGCCAAAGTCAAGGCCCCCATGAGGCCCTGTGTGGATTCACAACCCATATAACAATCCCTGTATTACACTAGTATCACTTACTGCACCTGATTAATACTATCATATAATACAATATTTATTAGTTTCGAAATCAGGGAGTTCCGGCAGAATGTGTGTATCAAACAATTACAGCTGCAGCAGTACAGTTGATTCTGCTGTAAAGCAAGACTTATTAATATTTAAATAACACCCCCTTAGTGCACATCCATACATTTAAAGTAGCTGTGGCTTGCAAGATGGAGATATTTCAGGTTCAAGTGCATATATTAGCGATGCAAGTCTTAAAACTGTACATTTGATCACAAATGTATTTTATTTTTTCGATCATCATGTTAGAACTGTGCTGGTGTTTATCAGCTCTTTGGCATGTAGTTCTAGCTCTGTAAATGCCGATTTTATCGCACTGTGACAAAACTACAGGCCCCATAATGCAGGGATGCAATTATTCCTATTCAAAATATCCCTGCTCCTGAAATTAATTCACTAATTCATTCATCTGCTAATTTAAAAACAATTTCTTCTTGACCCTTTTGATTCACATCAAAAGTAGATGTGAAGCTGGAGATATGATTACAACTCAAAGACTTCTTATTTCATACGTTTAGTCTAAATTCAATTACACAAGTCCAGCAGTTTTTACAATAATCACAACCAACTGAAGCTGATTTGCACACACGATTACGTAATAATGGTGAAAGGCTTAAATCTGAGCTCTCCTCCCCTTCCCCCACTTGGAACAGGCTCAGCAAGCCTTATGTGTCATGATCTGTTCAAGCAAATCTTGTTGAGGATCGTTGCTGCAGTCCTCACAGAGCAAATGGCACCTTTGCCCACTAACTGATAAGTGAAATGCACCAGTTGACACTTTAATTTCCTCATATGATGCAATAGCCTGGGTGCAAATCAACTGAAGTTGAGTTTAATGTAAGGACAATGCTGTTTTTGACCCAGGTATGAACGCCGCTGTCCGAGCCGTGACCAGAATGGGCATTTATGTCGGGGCCAAGGTCTATCTCATCCATGAGGTAAACAAGAGTTTTACGACCAGGAGTGAATATGCGGACCGACCAACGTCACATCCTGTTTTTTGTGGCTTGGCTGGGACTGATTGCAATGTTCTTGTGACATTTCAGGGATATCAAGGCTTGGTGGATGGAGGAGAGAACATAAAGCTGGCACACTGGCACAGTGTGACCAACATTATCCAGCTGGTGGGTTGAAAGTTATTACTGTCTTCTGGGAAAATGACCATTTTAAAGTGATAACCTTTAATAAAAATACCATTATTTCACGGCTAAAAAATATAATTTATGATTTTTGGCCATTTTTTTTTATACTCTTCATAAAAATGCTTTAGTGTTAAAGCAACATTACCTTAATAAGAGTGATGGGTAATTCTCCTTTTGTTATCACTTGTAATGAGAAGGATTTTGAAACAGTTTACTTTATTTGTCTTGTGACTGACAAAGTGTAGTAGCCTTCTTTCAGCCTGGTGGGAGCGGAAATGCTGCAATATGTTAAATTTCATCCCACTGGAGAAAACTCTGACATGTTCTTAAAAGGACTTTAAACCATAAGAGGCGTATGATGGAAAAATTAATAATTTTGAAACTGTGACTGTTTAAAACCTCTTTGTGCCTCGAGGCTGATTTGTATTCCAATCACTGAACATTTCTAAGCATAATTTCTTTGCTTTTAGGTCAATCTCTTCATGTCTATCTTAGAACATGTTAAAATTGAGACTTTATTTAATCCATAGGTCACTTCCAAATTCAGCCTAAACAATGCAATTAAAGTCAAGTCCAACCACCTGCAGACATCCCTGGACATCTTTTCAAATTTCACTTTTAATGTCATACAATTTGAATGGAAGACAACAAGTTCCTTTCTATCTTTGTTCAAAAATAATTTGGTCCGAATGCTACATTTATCCTGCTCCTTCCTTTATGAGTCATAGTCACACAAAGGGGATCCTCTGCTGGAAAAATAGGTGAGGAAAAAAAACGTGTGATCTAGCTTGTCGTTTCAGCTACAGATCATATGTTTCGGCTTGATTTTCACTAGCGCCTCTGCTGCAGGGTGGCACGGTGATCGGTAGCGCCCGCTGCAAGGCCTTCCAGACGCGCGAGGGCCGCATTGCCGCCGCCTTCAACCTGGTGAAGAAAGGCATCACCAACCTGTGTGTGTGCGGCGGAGATGGCAGCCTCACCGGAGCCAATATCTTCCGCAGTGAGTGGAGCGGCCTGCTGGATGAGCTCGTACAGAAAGGTCAGCTGCTCTCTGGGCATCAGTCTTGTTTCCGTGCCATCACCAGCGCTGTATAATAAGCTTTAAAGAGGAAATTACATCTGTGGGTCTTCAGGAAGGATCACGGACACGCTGGCGAAGCAGCACAACAATCTGAACATCGTCGGACTTGTGGGATCAATAGACAACGATTTCTGCGGCACTGACATGACCATCGGAGCTGACTCTGCGCTGCATCGCATCATGGAAATAGTCGACGCCATCATGACCACTGCAAACAGGTTAGACACTCGGAGCAGTTGTATTTGTATTTTATTATGACTCTATGTCATAATCAACATGCAATTACAGCTCCAGATTTTTTAGAGAATAAATATGTTTACCCATTTTTTTTTTTTTTTTTTTTTTAGTAACAAAAACTCAGCAAAAAAATTTCTTTTTCAGGCTTTTTTTCGTTACAATAAACG